AAAGAATGGACATACTGAAGCCAATTGCTGGAAGCTAAATGGGAGACAGATTAAATGGCAGAAGTAGGAACATCCAATTAATCTTCAGAAATGGATCATGAGGAAAGAAGTATTAGAACGGACAAAAAGATGATGTTTCCTTTGAATGTACTGAGAAGACAGATATGGCTCAGGACAGTCATCAAAATTCTTTTTCTAATGTTGACAAGGAAAATCAAATGGATTGAGGTTCTGGATATTTTCTCAAAAATCTTCAAATTGAGGTAAATCAACAAAGATATTGAGAAACTGGACAAAATCAGTAACTGATGCTGGCTGATGATATTGTGCATCTTCCAAAGACGTTAATGAAGGAGAAAACATTAATTGGACACAAGTACAGAGGTTAGAAACCAGTCTCAATATGCAGAATTAGATTAAAAGCAGACTTGATAGATGGAAACTTTGTAGCAAGTGTAGTGAAACTAATACCGGTTTTGGAAATGTCCTGGAAGGATCAAGAACATTGGCCTCACAAAAGAGTGGAGGAACAACTGCTGGAGGTAAAGGAAACTGAAATATTGCAAGACAGACAGCTTGGATTGCTCCCTAATAGGGATTTAGAAATGTTTGAAAAATTTACTAAACAAGGATGAGGTAAAAAGGATAATGTAATGAAAATGAAGCTGATGTGTTTAGGCCATCTTCTGTAATGGAAATGCAACAAACAGATTTAGAATTTTGAGAGTTAGACCAAACAGCCTATTCAGAAATTGAAAAAAAAAATCAAAACCGGAATGTTCTTATTTGAAAGACAAAAGTACTCATGAGGAAATGGAGACCATTTCAAAGTCAGAGTCAATAAGTAATGGGCAGTGGTTCATCAGGTGGTAGTTCCATTTGAGCACTATAGCGAAAATTTTATGACTTGTACACAAAATTCCAATGGCAGGTCAATTAGATATTAGGAAAACAAACTAAAATATTAAACATTTTTATTGGCCAGAATTATATAAAGCTGTGGTCAAATTTTGCCAGACATGCCATATATGTCAGGCAGTTTGGAACACTCAACCGTCAAATAAACCGCACCTTAGTTTCAATACTAACTTTTGAACGGCCCTTTGCTGCAGTTTAATAGATTGTGTAGAATCCCAACCTAAAACAAGGAATGGTAATCAGTATCTTTTAATGACAATGGGTATTTCCAAAAGATTTCCTGAAATAGTCACTTTAGGAAAAATTGCCGCATAAGTAGAAGGGGAAAGTTAGTTTAATAATTTACAACACATTATTTACCCAAGAGAATAACATTTGAACTTCTAATCTGATTCCTGTCGCAAATTTTCAAAGAAATGAGGTGTCCTGATGAGGAGTGTAAACCTGAAATGTCAACTTTCCTGTTCCCCGATGCTGCCCGACCTGCTGTGTTCCTCCAGCTCCACACTGTACTGACTCTGACTCCAGCATCTGCAATTCTTGCTATCTCCACCTTCAAAGAAATGACAACTAGTTTGGGAAAAAAACAATGTATATTTTCTGCTCAGGGCCCACAGTCTCGAGGTAGACTAGAAAAATGGCATCAAACCTTGAAGACCATGATGACAGCTGATCATCAAGAATGTTGTAATGACTAGGATAAGAGATTCATTTGTTACTGTTTGCAACTGAGGGCACTCTTAATGTCCCTACAGGATTTAGTCCCTTTGAACTAACATACAGATTCTGATGAGGGAATCACTTAAAATGGTGAAAGAAAAAATATGATAAACCAAAACTCAGGGACAATGCTTCCAGCTCATGATTCGAGTTTCAGAGTAAAATGGACCAAGGCACGTGCAGCTGGCTAAAATGCATTTGAAGGGTGCTCAACAAACAAAGAAAACTAGAGGAGATAAAAAGGACGACGTTCAAAATTTCATTGCTGGAGAAGATACAAGTATTGTTACCTGTTTCTGGGAAACCATTAAAAACAAGGTTCATTTGACCTTAGCAAAAAAGAAACCCAATGATTTAAACTATGTATTGAGTACTTCAGACTGGATAAACAATCAGCAAATGTGTCATGTTAACATGTGAAAGAGGCATAATGACTGGGATGATTATTAGGAGAATGAGTTTATTTACAGTAGTGAAAGAAGTAGGGAGTGAAATCGAAATATCAGAGCAGTTGGGGAGTGAATCAGAAATTAAAAATCAAAAATGACTTACAAGCAGACTGAATAATATGGAGACACTTAAAACAATGGTTAGGTAGCATCATGTCTTATCTTCCAAAAAAAAACTATCCAAGTGACTTTAAAAGCCTATTTCAGAATCATAAATTATTTGTTTGGAGAGGCCAGAAACAGTTTTGGCTGTTTATGGTGTTAATGTAGGGGATGCATTACCTATGACGTACAGAGGGATCTTGGGGTTCAAGTCCATATCTCCCTGAAAATGGCCATGCAAGTAGTTAGGGTGGGGAAAGAAGGCACATGGCAAGCTTGCCTTTATTGGTTGGGGAATTGATTACAAGAGTCAGGATGTCACATTGCAGCTTTGTAAGACTTCGGTTAAGTCACACTTAAGAGTATTGCGTTCAATTCTGGTCACCACATTACAGGATGGATGTGGAGTCTTTGGAGAGGGTACAGAAGAGGCTTCCCAAATGGCGCCTGGATTAGAGGCTATGACCTATAAAAGGAGAGGCTAGAAAAACTCTTTTTTTTTTCCTCTGAAGCAGTGGAGGCTAAGGGGAGACTTGATAGAAATCTATAAAATTGCGAGATGCATAGATAGGGTTGACAGTCAGAATCATCTTCCCCAGAGTTGAAATGTCTAATACTAGGGGACATGCATTTAGGATGGGGGGGTGGAGTTCAAAGGTAATGTGAGTGCTAGGAGTCTGGTGGAGGCAGTTATTATAGGGATGTTTAAGGGACTTTTAGATAAGCTCATGAATATGTAAGTAATGGAAGGATATGGACCAAGGGCAGACAGAAGGGATTAGTTTAATTTGGCGCCACACTCGGCACAACATCGTAGGCCAAAGGGTCCATTCCTGTGCTGTACTGTTTGATGTTCTATAAAACATCCATATAAACTTAACCCAGAGAGATCAGCTCAGTGAGATTAACCTCATGATGGACAATGACATTATTGAAATGAGTCATGGCAACTGAAGTTCACTAATCTCAATGATTTGAAACCAGATAGTTTTCTATTTTGCACTGATTGTCAATAACTCAAAGTGGTAACAAAAACTGACTTACATCCTCTTCCTGAAATTGAGGACTGCATTGAAAAAATTGGAAGTCTGTGATTTGTCACCATCATCAAGTTGCTAACAAGAATATTACGTTCTGTTGCTGACTAAATTACAGAAATATAGTTTTGTTTTGTAACTCCAGGAGAGATTTTACCAATGCAAAGTCACACCATTTGGGATGAAAAATGCACCAGCAACATTCCAGTGATCAACCAAAAAAGTAATTGAAGGACTATGTAATTGCATGGTTTACATCAACATCTTTTTAGCTGAGAAAAAAGTTGAAGAACATTTACATCGCACAACTGAACAGTTTGACCAGCTATAAAAAGCCAAATTGATTAGATATGTGGCTGAAAGTGAATTTGCCAATGCAAAAGTGACTTAGTTGGGCTGTCAGGCAAGGTAAGTAGAAAGTGAACATAAAGGCTATTTTGGATTTTCCTGCGCTTAGAACAAAATGTGAAGTTTTGAGAGATGTCGGACTGAGTAGATTTTATCACAAGTTTGTTCTGAACTTCGCAATGTCCTTGCACCTTCAACAAATTTAGGCAGAAAATTAGAATGGATGCATGAATGTCAAAATGCCTTTGAATACGAGAAATCTGTGCTGGCAACCGCAACAGTTTTAGTTGTGCCAAATTAGGAGAAGCAATTCAAACCATCTGCTGATGCCAGTGACAGTGACATCAGCATGGGACTATTTTACTGCAAAAGCAGATGGGGATTGAATAACCTGTCAGTTATTTTTCGAAGAAATTCATAGCCTGTCAACAAAAATATCCAACAATTGAGAAGGAGACATCAAGTTTTGTGTTAGTTCTATCTCATTTTGAAACTTAAATCACTAACAATGTAGAAGAAACTGCCAATTATACAATTCATGATAAAATGTTTCCAAGAAAATCAATTTAAGACAATAACTTATGATTGTTTTGGTGGAGATTAACTGTCCAACCAATAATTTGAAAATTATTCTTGTACCTGGAAAAGAAAGGACTATAGCAGTCTCTTTATCGAGAACAGATATGAAGGACATGGCATGCTGTACTCCCCATGTATTTATGTTAAGTAACAGTTGCTGTATATTCCTTGTATGTTTAATGTCAATATGTTACTGCTGTTAATGTTATAGAAATGTAGTTAAGGTCATTTTTAGTTGGGGTAATAAACTGCCTCTTAAAGATACATTTCCATTCTTCTCTGGGGGAAGATGTGATTGAAGGTTTACAATTTAGAATTGTTTCAATATCATTTATTTTGGAGTTTGAATGGGAGGGAGGGAAAAGGAAGGCAAGAGGGAGGCAGGCAAAAGGGAGACAAAAAGGGGAGCACAGTGAGAGACTCATCAAGAAAAAGGCTATCAAACTGTCAACAATGGGAATTTGAAGAAACTGTTCAGCCAAACCTACAGATATGATAGAGAAAGGAACTCTTTGGTATTTGAGTACTGGGAAGTGATGATGTGGGAAGTAGATGAGGTGGTATTTTATCACTTGTTCCAAAATATTTCAAGTTGTCTTAAATGTAAATAATTTGGTTTATTCAATGTTATATTTTTTTGTATAATTAACTTCTTTACTGTTAAAACCAAGCCTGTGCATTGTGTGATTGTGTTTCAGCAAAAGACCACAGCAATAAATAATAAAAAATATTATGGTTGAGCTAGATTTCAGTCTGAGATGTGACCTGTGTTCAGTAGTAACATCAGCTGAGATCTACGGAAATACACATCAAGTTCAATAAGCATATTAATAAGTAATCCTTTTACCATTTAACAAATGGATCCAAACGACTTGGCCTAATCTGGGGTAAATTACTGGCTTCTTTCACCCAAATTTGAACTTCTCCTGTTTTTCTTCCTGTGTGCAGAATCATCAATTACTATGTTGATACAATGTGAAAAACTAAAACTTATTACAAAGAAAATGAAGGAGAAAATACCTTTGTATCCATGAGGAATGTATCGGAAAGCCACTTTTAAGCTGCCTCTATCACCTGTTCTGTCAACTGAAATTGTCTGCAACGGTCATGACCAAGAAACATCATTTAATCTATATTTTGTTGGTAATATTTTACCATGATATAGCAAAAGCTATTTTTAAATGTACAGGTATGTAATTCATTAAAACTAATAATAAATGCAAATACAGTTTACCAAAAAGGTGTCACGCTCTGCCCTTGTGCAATCAAGCCCTCTGCCAAGTTTCTTTCAGTCACACTTGAATAGCATATAGGCTGTGGTTCCTTCTCATACTTTGATCTTGAGAATTTGCTGAACAGTAATATTAATTTTCAGCCAGCCTTCACTTTCATATGGTACCTCTGACTTTTCCATTTCTGGACTTCTCCATCTACACTGCAGTTGACCATATCTACCCATTTCGATGATGCCTTTCCTTTCCTGGTCTCAAAAATATCAAGGCTCTAATTGTGCTCATCTTTTTTAAGTTATCTTCCAGCATCCACAATAATGCTCTTATTACCAATCATATCATCTCTTGTCCGCTTTTAGACCTTTGTTTCCCCTAATTCTATTTGCCCTTTCATGTAATTGCAGCAAATGCATAGGGAAGGGATATATTTAATGTGTCTATGTTCATGGTCATGGGGAAAGAAAAGCTTGAGATTGACCATAAAGTTTAAATCTTTAGGGAAGACCTCAAAAAAATTTCTGCAACTAAAGTGAAGAGAGTTCAGGGTTTTGAAGAAAACTCATATCGGACTGCAATCATAAGACCTGCAGAGTTTCTCCAGCATTTTCTTGTTATTTCAGATTTCTAGTGTCTGTGGTATTTTTCTTTCATTTGTCCTAGGTTGTATCGGCCAGACTGTTCAGTAGAAAGTCAAGGTAATTGTATGTACAAAGCATCAGTCAGGTGGGGTGTATCCTTTTGAATCCATCATAAGCAACAACTTTGTCCTAGAGAAGGTACAGAGGAGGAGCGTGGATAACTAACAGCCTAAATGCACCAACTACAGAAAAAAGCTTTGTGCATTGGTTTTGAATTCACTGAGAGGTGCAGACTTAGAGGCCTAATTCAGATCTCTAATCTAAATAGCATCAATATCCTACAGATGGAGAGATAGTTTCAGCTGAAGTTATCAATTGAATTTTTTAAAAGCAGAGATTGATATTGAATAAACTGAAATTTAATTTTCTCATGGAAAGTGACCAGCTTGTCAAAATTATTCTGAACATGATAGAAAGGACCAAATCCTTGCAACTCTTCAGGAGGGTATTACTACATAATTCTGGAAAACCATGAAATTTCAGCTGAAGGAAATGTAAATATTAGATAATAAATGGGGTGGGGCCTCTGTAGAATTTTTTGATCACCATTTCCGGAACTGGAAACAGGAGCAGAATCTTTTAGACAGAGGTTCATCAACTGGCTGTTCTTCTCCCCTTCAAAGAAGTAGGTAATGGATGCAGGAAATGAAAGATGGAAGAAAGAATATCAGTGTCCAGTAAAAATGGATCAAACACATATTGAAATGATGGCCTTTTCTCATCCTGACTGCACAACATAATAGCTGACTATTGCCTTGTCCCACATTATTGTTTAAGTCCCTTCCATTTAAAATGGCAATTTGCTTATATTTCACTTAATATAACGAATAGTACTTTCAACTCGAATGTGGCTTCTTCTCCATTGGTGAAAACCAAATGCATGTCAGATAAGCAATTATAAAACACAAGCAATTATAAAACACTATCAATCTGCCCACAAGTGTGACAACTATATTTTAGGCCTTCAAGTCTGCTCTTAGTACTTCCAAAGCAATCCTATATGCGCAGTATTTTAGTGCTCTGGCCTGAACATTCTACTTACAACATATTATAATATTCTACTGTTCTTTCACTTCAGTTGTGATGTCTCATTGACTTGATCTTCTGGATTACTTCTAGTTTTTCCATTTTCTGGACTATGTTGCATCTTCGCTCTGATTTTTTTCTCTCCTCAGTCCTATTGAAATGTTTGCTTATTTCAGTTTTCATTACTGATGATGAATATACACCTGAAATGTTCAGCCTTCCTTTCTATTCTCTTCAGAGTCTGACTTTCAAGCTAAGAAATTTAGCATGGAGTTAACATTTCAAATTTCCAACAATTACTAAATACATTTTTATTGTCTTTATAAAAGTTTGCTGTGGGTACATTTGCTATGATAACTAAAAGAGTAAAGAGAAAATAGCATCAGCAATACTATAACCCATGTCATTATGGAGCAACCCAACATTCATGCTCCCTTCCCAGCAGTTAAGACCAGAGTCGCAGTCTTTCCCTCTTTAATTTACATTATTAATTACCCTTGGTTTCAGGTCATGCCAATCCATCTTCTTGTTGCTCCAATCCCAATTCTTTAACTCTATTTCCACTTCACCTAGAAAACTGTTGCGGCCAAATGTATCATTGTGCCAGACGGACAGGTTCAGTGTTTGAGCCATCAGGGAGGCTTTTTCAATTTTATACTGCAAGATGAGAGGTGCAGAATATGCTTAAATCAGAGGTGAATAAAAAAAGGCCAAAATAACAATTTTCCATGAAAGAGCATTCACAGACATTAGTCAGACACTTAATCACTCTACATTAAAAAGGTATATATTACAAATTGTCTGCTGCAAATTACATCACACCCACACATCTAAAATTTGCAATTCTGAGGCCAAAATAAATCAAACTATAACATTTGTGGAAGATGGTCAGGAAGTCAGAAAAACAAAAGTCACAGTAAATAAATAACAAATAGACACTCGCTATTTGAACATATACAATATTTTTCAAATAACAAGCAACAGACTCAAAGTAGCCAATTTTTCTATTCTGAAGCACAATTTTATACTGTTTTAATGACATATGGGGCAGAGTCAAGTCAAAATTCTGTCACTGTAACAGAGGAAAATCAGGCAGTCCTACAGCTGCAGTATGCTGTAATACTAGAAAACCTATGCTTCAAAGAGTGAAACAACAATAATGAGAAGCTAAATTAGAAGGGAAAGGAAAGCACAGCACAACAAGATGCTCTGCTTTCATCCCAATGCAGCTATCATCATCTAGCAAGGTCTGTGATTTGGGCATGAGTGGACAAATGCATGGCAGATGAAGTATAATGTGGAAAAATGTGAGGCAATCCACTTTGGTACCAAAAACAAAGGCAGATTATCATCTGAGATAGTAGGAACTGCAGATGCTGGAGAATCCGAGACAACAAGGTGCAGGGCTGGATGAACACAGCAGGCCAAGCAGCATCATAGGAGCAGAGAGGCTGACGTTTCGGGCCTAGACCCTTCATCAGAAAAGGGGGAGGGGAAGGGGGTTTTGAAATAAATAGGGAGAGAGTGGGAGGCGGATAGAAGAGGGATAGAGGAGAGGATAGGTGGAGAGGAAACAAACAGGTCGAAGAGGCGGGGATGGAGCCAGGAAAGGTGAGTGTAGGTAGGGAGTTAGGAAGGGGATAGGTCAGTCCAGGGAGGACGGACAGGTCAAGGGGGCGGGATGAGGTTGGTCGGTAGGAGATGGAGGTGCGGCTTGAGGTGGGAGGAGGGGATAGGTGGGAGGAAGAACAGGTTAGGGAGGCAGGGACGAG